AGCCAACTAGCTTTTCAACAACCTCCCCTAAAAGGTTGAAAATTATCTAGTACTGTTGTGGCCACTGAAGTGCTCACTGGCTCCTTCAAAGCAGCAAGACTACCATTTATTAATAAATAACATGGATTTAATGAACAGGTCGAGTTAACATTCCCAAGGATCTTGTCAATCTCCTCAGACAGGCTCACACTAATTCCAGTTAATCACACAATACTTTGTTACTAACACATTGAGAGGATTTTTCCAGTCACCATCTAATTCAAAGCATATCTGAGAGACTTTATTTGTCAGATATCTAGAATATTTTTAAAATCAGCCCAGAAAATGGTCCTGTAGTTTACCATGATCCCTAACAGAAATTCAGTTTGATATTGTTATTGAAATGCCAGGTTAGGTTTGGGAAGATCTGATTTTAGATTAAATGAAACCCATAAAACTAGCTGAAGAATCTTAGATTATTCAGTAAATTAGTTCACATATTGCATTAAGCTATCATGTGGCTTGCTCAATAGTGGATTAACGTGTTGTATCATCCTATCTAATTGTGGTTTGTTCAATAAATCAAAATTCCATAAAACGATGGTTTCACTCAATACTGTACTGTATAATCGTCATACCAATTATAAGAACGCAACTTGAATTCTATAAAAAAGGCATTATATAATAACTACTATAATTTTTCAGCCCTCTCCTAACGCATGAAGTAAGGAAGTAGATAAAACTTTTTTCTTCACAAAAGCAACATGCTGTCAGATTTTAAAAAAGGAAACCTATCTTTAATGTGTGATGTATGAGTGTGTAACATTGTTTTTTAATGTTACAAGACAGAAACAAAATGAGGTTATAGCAACATTTTATTGAGAGCAGCGGATTTCTATCAGGGATGGGAACCTGTTGCCCTTGAAATATTGCTGAATACCCAGCAGCTTTAACTAGCATAACTAATAACATAGGGTGTTGAGAATTACAGTTCAACAACAGTGGGAGGGCTCCAAGTTTCTGACTCCTGTTTTAGCTCTGATTTCTGACATAGGAACAAAGGCACTTCAAGCTGCTGTTCAAAGCTATTAATTTAAACCCATTAATTCTATCATTTACATATATTTTAATTTTTACTAATATCGTCATATCTTAGTATAATCTTTTTGAGAAGGTAACAGAAGATGTAAAATTGGAGCAATAATAAAACTACATATTTTATGAGAAATCACCCCACAATTTTCTGTTCAGAGAATGGCTGCCACCAGTTAAGCATTCATTTACCCAAGAGTAACTGTCACTTATCTCTATATTGTAGTGACAACAAAACAGTCACCAAGATACGACTCAAGGGAAAATTACTACGAAAAAGTAATCTCATGATAAACAGGCCACAGTTATTTGTGATGTTATCTTTTAATTAAGAAATGGATTTTCTTCTCTTGAGTTTGTATTTTATCACTGTGAATAAAATAAAAAAAAATACTGGAAAAAAAAGAAATGGAAGGCAATAATAATAATAATAACAACAACAACAATAATAATAATATTCGAAGGGACCTGGGGGGTCATCTAGTCCAACCCCCTGCTCAGGCAGGAAATTCTATACCTGTGGTGGCAAACCTATGGTCAGAAATGGAAAACTATAGTCATGTAAATTTTAGTTATACTAAACTATTAAAAAGAACATTGATCCACACATTACTGATTAAAAAGTCCACAGAAAAAAAATCTTTTATAGCGATATGGGAAAATGAGGAAAAAAAATAGAAAATGAAAAATTTCAGAAAAAAGCAGTTCTCAACCACAATGCTTGTGTGTCACCCATTCTACTCTTTTCCCCTATAGATTAGATTTAAATTTATGTGAGCACTGAAAATGACTTCTATGAAATATTTTCCTTTTTATAGTGTCTAAAACACTTTTAAAAATACAGTAAGTTCCTCTATTCCAAATATATAGCATGAACATTTTACATAATCTACATTACAGAACGCAATTCCTCTATCTATTATAGAGATGCAAAGTATTTAAATCCAAAATGCATCTATACTTTGATAGTAAGCATGGTATATATTTCATTTCTTCCCTATGGAAGCTGATTTTCTACCCCCATATAAGTGGCCTCGTCTTTTCCACAAATATTAGATTTGTATTCCTATGGAAACATATGGAAGTGAGAAAGAAAAAATATATATACAGGAAATATACAGAACTAGTAGTTAGTTGATTCAGTCTATTCAAAACCAAAGATTAAGTGGCTCTGAATTATACTATCAAGAGATAAATATACCATCACCTAGTAATAAGTGTATTAATATATATTATATACAGTATACATTATCAGTAATTGTGTGCATGTGTGTATTGCCATAGAATAAGTTGGCTGCAGATGTCCAGTTTATTGGTTCAAATTATTTCTTGGCAACAGTTGTTTGCCAAGAGATACTTGCAAACCATCACACAACAAGCACTTTATTTAGATGTAATTTTGAATACTATGGACAGATTTAAAAATCAAAATCAAATGTGCTAAAGCTATTTTGCGACAGGTGCTCCAAAATAATGCACCATTTAGAGTACTCTAGTAGATATATTATGCAAACTTACTGAACAAGTATGTAACTCCTTTTTTCTCCCAGGTTTCTCCTTACCCATTCCTCAGATCTACTCATTACAATCATAAACCCAGTCACAGGTGAACACTAATTATTTAAACTGCATACTCTGAAGAATCACAATGGAAGAATATGAATATTAGATTTGATTAAACTTATGATAAGAGACGCTTCATGGCATTAACTAATAGAAGCATTTACTGACTTAAATTTAGATCAACCAGCTGTGATAAGATACTTGGATGTGTGATTTTACCACCCTAAACTCTGCCTGTCTATTACTTTCAAGTAGACAGGCTATCAACTTGAACAACAATCCGGCTGTCAGATAGACCCCTGGTTTTAGGAAGACTCAAGTACTCTGACTTTGTAATTTCAGAACTGGCCATTACAGCAATTTAAATTTTAACAGCCACTTGCTTAGAAAAAGACGGGGATTATCAGGAAAGAAAAAAGTAACCAGATCAGTGGTGGGATTCAAATATGTGAACAACCGGTTCTCTGTGTGGATGCCATTTCCGGAAGCCCATTCTGGGCCTGGGCAACAAAAAATTAGCTACTGGTTCTGCCGAAGTGGTGCGAACCGGCTGAATCCCACCACTGAACCAGATGCAACTGTACCTTCAAACATAGTTTAATATCTAAATCATGTTGCCTCCTCGGTATCTATTCTTAAATATTCATGCATATACCTGTAAGTTCAATTAACATATTGTACGAGTTAGGCTCAAGCCTCCAATTAATAGGAAACTCATTGGGTAACTTTGAGCCATTAATTCTGTTTTACTCCAGCCTATTTCACAGAATTATTGCTGTGAGGTGAGAATGAGAGGAAGACATCTATGAACCTCTTCACTGAAATCTCAAGAAAAAAGCTAGGATATAAAAGCAAATAAGTTATATACATAAAAATACCACGATCTCTTAAAAACTTCATATATTGGTAAATGGGAGCTACAAAATGTTACCATATAGAATGCCCTATTTCTAGGCCCAGCCAATCCCTTAATTGGGATAACCTACTTTTTACTTTCTTCTTGGCTATTTTGTTTTTAGACACTGTAGACACTGAATATGGTCCATTCTCACTGGGCTGTTGTTTTTGTTTATTCGAAAGAAATTGTCCTTTTAAACTTTTAAAGAACTCTCCGAAAATTCATATTTTGTGAATTATTCTCAAATGTATCCAATGTTTTCAATATTCCTATTCTGCTGACAATCACAAGTGGTTTTTGATATCAGAGGAACTAATTTAAATGCATTATAATCATTGTCAATACTTTCTTTAAAATAAACATCTTCAGCATATGTCTTACTCAGAAAATATTGAAAATTGTTAATTACTAGTAGGACCATCAGGTTTTCCTCATATTGTGTTAATCAATGTATTTAACTGATCTCAACAGAGCAAGTAATTTAATTCCAAGCATTTTGAGCTGAATTTTATGTTCAACTGGACTTTAGGAAAGCTGTCGAGTCTATAGAGGCTTTTATTTTATGATGGGATTGTTAGCTAACAATTGGGGTTGGGCAAAAGAAAGTAAAGAAATATTTTTCACAGGGCTTAAAGAAACAGAACAGTTTCATAGATTTAGTGGCAATTTTAATATTTAATGCCCATAAGCAATTTAGGAGAAAACACTATTATAGCAATGAATCATTATCAAGTTGTATCTTCAGATATGACAGAACCATGCAAACCTGTAGTGTAATTTAACTTCACTCCCATAACATCAGTCTGTCCAACTTTATAGCAACATATAAATCAATCTATGCTATGATATAGTGGTACACTTTATACTGAATAAATACAAAAACTCACATTTCATTGATATAAGCTCTATAAATAGATGACACACTTAAGAAAACTTTACATACTTGTTTTTCAATCATATTATTGCAGTTGAACAATACACTTTTAGGCATGGGAGGGGGGTCATTTGTTTTTCAGTCAGTGCCTTATGCTTAATTTATCCAGTGATGCCAATCTAGTACTAGTGACATTATAATTGCTTCCATGGTAGCAAATTGTAAAGTCACAAACACTGATTGATTCATTTCATGCTGCCACAATTCAGAAAGGAAGGTCAGGCATTTTCTTTAATTAAGATAAAGAATTATTTATAAGTCTGAACACAGTTCTTTCATCTCATTTTCCTTTCACATGATTAAAAAAACAGCAATTAATTTCTTGTACATTTTTAGAATGTAGAGAAAGTTATAGAACATCATGGTTTTCCTGGGGGTTAGAGGGAGAAATAATAATTTCAGTTACACTTAGTAACATAGGTATGTGTATAATATAACCAGTACTTGCTATAATTGTTCTCTTTATACAATAGTTATCAATCAAGTATTTGTAAATGAATTACTTTGCCTTTCAAGGACATAAAATTTACTTACCAACAATATTAGTCTTTGATATTTCCTTTTCAATTCTTTTAAACTATCTGAGGGTTCTGCACCCAAGATGCTATACCAGTCCTTGTTGGGTGCTATGTTTTCAAAAGCCATTGCATGACTAGGTATTTCCAGTATCTGTTTAATTATTAGAACAAAGTAAGGAAAGTGTTAGTTTAAAATGACAAAAAAAACTAATGTTTCTAAGCATGACTCAAAAAAATTAAGCAAGGTATTTCTGATATCTTTAAATCAACAGAGAGGTCAAATTATTACAAAGGGAGGGATTACTTTTTCCCAACTTATATATTCCTGTATATATATTCTGAAAACCAACAAGCTCCAGTTTCTTCAATGAGGACATGTTGAAATTGTAATTGCCATCTTATGAGCAACATGTCAAATTATTATGGAGAATGCTCATACTGAAATTAGTGAGAGGAATAGTATTAAAAACAGTATTAAAAGTATGTTAAAATAACAGAAAAAACGCCCATTAAATTGACAAAAATATTATGCAGGCCAAAATGAATCAATAAAATTAATACCAGATTTCACAAAAGGTAAAAAAAATATATATTTTACAACACAATGACTTTAAGCCAGCAAAAGCTGAAAATTAAAGTTCAAATGTATAGAGTGAAATAAAAGGAGGTTTTAGAAAATATTTTTCTTGAGTATTTTTGCCAGGATTCAATAAAATTATATAATTGATTTCTTGTGCTTAAAGGAGCTTTTTGTTTGATTTTTGCTACAATAACTCTGAATAGGATTTTTAAAAGTGAAGGCACTTCGAAACTGATAGGCACTTTCAAGTAGACTAGCACTAGAAGTGTCTAAAGCCAGTTCTTTGGATTCCAGCTATTGAAAAAGTTTCTTTGAATAAACACTCAAGATGGTGTGTATTACAAAGTATATTAATCCCACTGATTTACCCCATAGAAAGATACAAAGGACTGCAGCTTTGTTTACTGTTAGCACATTTTTTTATGATGCCTTAAAATACATAAACTTTTATAAAACTATTTTTAAGAATAAAAATGGAGAGAAAAATACCAACATGAAAAAGTGCTGATTTTGAATCAACCATACTGAGGAAAAAGGCAATCCCAAGGACTTGAAGTAGTAAAATACATAATACAATTCATGTCAGGCACTGGCTAAGAGCTCATTACATTAATGAACAGCAAAGAAAGAAAAAAGGCTTTAAATGTGAAGCAATCATGACAGCATCTCATTAGCCACTGGGGCCAGGGAGACAATTACACAAGGAACTGAACTCTTGAAGAACAAATATCCATAACTCTTAACACAATGAAAGCTCTTTATGTTACTCATGGAAGCCACTTCCTACATTTGACAGTGCTTATCCAAAATGCTAAAAAAGTCCACTTTCACAAAGTCCACTTAGGAATAAGAAAAGAGTTTGAAAAGTCCTTGGTAAGGAATTAGAATCACATAAGACTTAAGAAACTGCTATTATCTCTACCAAACACATGCAGCGTTCAACCAGAAGACCATCTTGTGGGATCTGAATTAACCACTGAACTTTCAGCTCCATCTAAGCCATGAATTTCCACTATTTTTGTCCCATCTTGTTTCCATAGATAATACTTATCTAGGACTACTCCCCAATAATATACACTAATAGAGAAGAATTTGAGCTTTAGATCATCTTGTATTTCAGAATTAGTAACGGCTGCATTCAAAATAAGTTTATAGCAAAAGAATACAGTTGTCCTCACCAACTGGGACCAGCAACTCCATTGCTAAGTGATGAGATTGTAGAGTGAAACATCATGTGACTGTGCCCACCTATGCTGTCAGTTCCAGCTGCAGTTAAGCAAATCATGTGCAGTCGTTAAGCATGTTACATGACTGCGAGTTGTGTCTTTCCCATTTTGCTTGCCAGAAGACGTCTGTAAAGTTGAAAATGGTGATCATGAGATCACAAGATGCTGCAGCCATCATAAATGTACTCTGGTTGTTAATCAACTAAATCACAATCACATGACAATGGGGACAGAGTACTGCAAATTTGGAGACCGATCATAAGTTTTTCAGAGCCACTGTAACTTTGAATGGTTGATGAACGAGTAGTCGGTAAACAAGGACTACCTCTATATGCTTAGCAATTCAGCCTTGGAACCCAGAAAGTACATCCATACATTCTATGTGTTATTTTACTTCATGCTGTTATCCAAAGAAATTGGACTGTGGCAATATGGAGTCCAGAAAGAAAGGTTGGTGTTGTGATCCCCAGTTCTATAGAACCTAGATCTGACAATAATATGTGCCACAACTGAGATCTGGTGTATGTATACGTTAGAAATGTTCTGAAATTCGAAATAGACAATTCTGGCTTTTGGTCAGCTCTCCCAGATAAACCAAACATGAAAAATGATCGCATGAGCTTATTCTACTTTATTGTAAGGTTACATTAACAGAACCTTGCAAGTCTGAAAATACAAATCTCCCATTGTCACTTTTAACAGTCTGATATGTTACGCGGATCTTTTTAAAGTTTTTTTCTTTGCTGGTTAAGCAGTTGCAGGCTCTTCCTAGGTAGTATCTCTTCTCTTCCTCCCTCAAAGTCATTCCCACATACCATTCCACAAGTGTTTTAAACCCCAAACGTGTTTTCAAACCAACAACATTATATTAGATTCAAAATGTTTCAAGAACACAAAGCATTTCAAGCCCTCATTTCCATGAAGGACAATTATACTTAATATCGCTGTCAATATACATTTCCACAAGGGAAGATGCATTCATTGGGTGTACAGAATAGAATTATTCTAGACCAGGGGTAGGCAACCTTGGCTCTTTTATGACTCGTGGACTTCAACTCCCAGAATTCCTGAGCCAGCCATGCTGGCTCAGGAATTCTGGGAGTTGAAGTCCATGAGTCAAAAAAGAGCCAAGGTTGCCTACCCCTGGTCTAGACCCTCCCTTTGCTAGCAGAAAAAAAAAGTTGGTTAATTTAATACAGGGGTGTCAAACTGGCAACCCGTGGGCCAGATGCGTCACGCGCAGGCCATGCCCACTCCGGCTCCACAAAGGCAAAAAACGTCATGATACATCACGTGACGCAATCAAGTTTGACACCCGTGCTTTAATGCAAGGGATAGAATTCCCGAAGCTCTGAACCAAGGCTGGGAAACACATGGATTTAATATAGTTTTTCTCAGTCTCAGGTTGACTTTGGAATTTCGAAGAGGATAAGAAGCCCATATGACTGAAGCAATTATACTATAGTATAGCTTGTTTCTTAATTTCTGGCCTTTTACCATCTTTTCACTTTCTGAACCCATCCTATCTGCTCTATCTTCTCTTTATATTATATATTATTTTTATATATTATATATCACAGATCCCTTTTGAAAAACTCATGAAAAGGGCTTATTCTTTAGCATTAATGTTCAAATGTTGTTGCAGCTGATACAGCATTGCAACATTCTTCTTACATAATAAAAAGACTATCAGTAAGAATGTTAAGAAAATTTGCTGTTTCCTGAAAAATGGTCCAATATTTTCTGTAATGGTCCAATATTTTCTGTAATGGTTAGCCTTATCAATTACTTTTCAGTTGGCCTTCATAAGCAGTTGATTTGGATTTGGATTTATTTCATTTATACCCTGCCCTTCTCCCGGAGGACTCAGGGCGGCTTACAGCCAGTTAAAACAATTACACAAAATACAAATCTAAGATAAATTAAAAATAAATATTCGAATCGGCCGCACTACTAAAATTAAAACCAATTTAAAATTACCCCTAGGCCCTAGTTGAAAAAGAGTATTCAGATTTTACTAGTTTTAATCTGCACAATGTGGAGTTAACGTTTAATAATTAAAAAGAAAATGTCTTGGAAATTAGAAATGTCTTTCTTTTTTACAGTGACTCAGAGTCTCTTTAGATAGGGAGATGGACTGCATATAAATTTAATAAATAAATAAAGCAATATAAATGCCTGGTGAGTTTCCTTCCAGAAGGTATTAATTAAGAAACATTCTGAAGCCTTCTTCCTTTGTAGCCAGGAAAGATATTGTTGCAAGATGAATTGCCAAAGCAATTACAAAGTCACTTTACAGCTGGAATGAGTACTCCAGAGACTGCTCTTTATATAAATATGTATATGAGTGTGTGTGCATGAGAGTGTGTGTCCGTTCACACATCTGCACAGAGAGCTATGATGCAACCACACTAATCGTACGTTATAGCTCAAATGTTCAGATTCTGGAATCGGACAGTAATGGGAATAAAGAAAAATAGGTGCATTTACACTCTTTCAATTTGACTTATGGCCTAGTACAACATACTATGGGTCAGCAGCCAGTCAAATTTGAAGGGGAAAAGATGATTTTTAAAAAACTTTTTGTTTTGTTATCTTAATCTGGGTTGACTTTTTCATGTGGCTTGTGAATTTTGCAAGCTGCCCAGAGTCTTCTGGAGTAGGCAGCCATATGAAATGAAATAAATTGAAACTAAATGAATGGATACATGTGACACCTTTCAGTAGTTCCTTAAAGCAAACACTTATTTTCTAAGCATTGGGTAGCAGTATTATGAGACCAGAAAAAATGCAGTTTCTTTAAGAGATTGTCAACAAGTACATGGAACATTTTTCCATGCTCCAAAATCATTGTTTTTCCTTTTTAAATCTGGTTTCCTATTAGAAACAATAATAGTGGGCATCATGGAAATCTAGTGGCTTGGAGAAATATATAGGTATCTCTATAAGTATGCTTTGTAAAAAGGATTTAAGCAGTATGGAAGTAGTAATGTTCTGTACACTAAAGCAGACATAGTAGCTACATTCTCAGACATATGATCATAATTGTTGCTGTTTGGAACTCATAATTTATGAAGTGAAATGTACAATTCCAGCACACCATAGCAAAGGAGAAAGCACTGTAGTAAATGATGATCTCTGTTACTTAGTAAATGGGTAGGAGGTATTATTTTATCCTAAATTCTATGAAATTTTGGCAAGAAAATAAAACTTTTATGCATTTTTCTGATCTTCTGATTTCAACACATGGACTTTAGGGGGAAAAATAAAATCCTGTAATGTCATGAAACATTTTATCGTACAGTCCCCATCCATCCTTGTGAAACATTAACATCCCTTGAACAGGCTATAAACTATTGTTATAGATGTAAAATGCAGACTCAGAAAAAAAATTCATTCTTATATTGTACTAGAATCTGAGACATGTAATGAAATGCTATCAATGACTACTAGTATGGCTATTATAGAAATGGACAGGTGCAATTTTATCTATCTGCCTTGCTTTTAGATTCCCTAAAAGAATTTGATAGCTGTCTACTGTAATCAAAACTATGCTAGATTAGATTGATTTTGTGTGTGATCCAATGTAGGTGTTACATTTTTGTTTTCCCCAGCACCATAAAAAAATTCTCTAGTCAAATATTTTTTCTTAAACTAATATGAATTGTGTACAACCCATGTGCGTACATACATCTTGGAATGTCACAGGCAATCAGCTACTATTCTGTTAAGCAGAGAGGCCAAGGTCACATATCTTAATAGGAAATTAACTTGCACAGGTTTTTTTTAACAATGGGATGGAAAAATATCTAGACAGATTCTGAAATTCACATTTAAGAGGCAAACACAGGTACTTCTGATTGCAAAGGTTTTCAGTGGTTCTAATTCAAGAGTTTTCAAAGACTCAGGATCAGATCATTCCTCCCTTTACACAATTTATTAAGCATTTCATGCGCCACATGAGGAAAGCGCATCTTCCTTCCCCTGTCCTGACCACTTTCTATACGGGGACAATCGAGAGCATCCTGTCATACAGCATCACAGTCTGGTTTGGAGGCATCACTGCTTCAGACAGGAAGGCGGTGCAGAGTGGTGAGAATGGCTGAAAAGATCATTGGCAGTTCCCTCCCTCCCATCCAGGACATAGCACAGAAGCGCTGCTTGAGCAGGGTCCGTAAGATTATCTGGGACACTACACATCCTCTTCACAACCTGTTTTCCTTGTTACCTTCTGGGAGGAGGCTTCGTGGTATCCGTAGCAGAACATCCAGATTGAGCCATAGTTTCATTCCATACAGCATTAACCTTGCGAACTCTCAACCTTCCTCCTTCCATTATATATTCAAGATGGACAATATTTAATATTTATTTGCTATGTATATGTAGGGATGTGGGTCTATACATATGTTGTTCATAGTATGTTTAGGTGTGTGTCGTGTACATGTTTCACTTTGAGAGCTGGCAACTAAATTTCATTTTTGATGTGTGCCATTCTGGCCACAGTATAAAAATGACAATAAAGGTTATCTTATCTTATCTTATCTATCTTATCTAAGAAATATGTTTGAATGATCTATAAGTTTGCAAGTGAAATGAAAAGAAAGCATTGTAGTGGCTTATAGAAGAAGAAAAGAGTGCAGAAAAAAGTTATATAAAAAGAATATCTGGAAATGTAGAGTTATAAATATCATGAGAAACAATCTTGTTTATTTCAATTTGTGAACCTACTTTTTAGCTTCTAGGTTTTAGATTTTTTGACTCTGATTTTTAGACACCAGGACTAGGTTTGTTCTGTTAGGGCATGATTTCTTTAACCGTACTTTAGTAAATAAAACACCCAACACGAGATGGTTTACAAACTACAAAGTGTGTGTGTGTGTGTGTGTGTGAGATACAAGCTGTGATACAACTAAACAGGCCTCATTAATAATAATAATAAAGTTGGAAGGGATCTTGGAGGTCATCGAGTCCAACCCCCTGCTCAGGCAGGAACCCACACCATTTCAGACAAATGGCTGTCCAGTCTCTTCTTAAAAACTTCCAGTGTTGGAGCATTCACCGCTTCTGGAGGCAGGTTGCTCAATTGGTTAATTGTTCTAACTGCCAGGAAGTTTCTCCTTAGTTCTAAGTTGCTTCTCTCCTTGATCAGTTTCCACCCATTGCTTCTTGTCCTTCCTTCAGGCACTTTGGAGAATAGCTTGGCTCCCTCTTCTTTGTGGCAGCCCCTGAGATATTGGAACACTGCTATCATGTCCCCCCTCGTCCTTCTCTTCGTTAAACTAGACATATCCAATTCCAGCAACCATTCCTTATATGTTTTAGCCTCCAGTCCCCTAATCATCTTTGTTGCTCTTCTCTGTACTCTTTCTAGAGTCTCAGCATCTTTTTTACATCGTGGTGACCAAAACTGGATGCAGTATTCCAAGTGTGGCCTTACTAAGGCATTGTAAAGTGGTATTAATACTTCATGTGATCTTGATTCTATCCCTGTTAATGCAGCCTAGCACTGTGTTGGCCTTTTTGGCAGCTGCAGCACACTGCTGGCTCATATTTAAGTGATTGGCCACTAGGACTCTGCGGTCCCTCTCACAGTTACTACTATTGAGCAAGGTACCCCCTATACCAGTGTTTCTCAATCTTGACAATTTTAAGGCATGTGGACTTCAACTCCCAGAATTCCACAGCCAGCAATGCTGGCTGTGGAATTCTGGGAGTTGAAGTCCACATGCCTTAAAATTGTCAAGGTTGAGAAACACTGCCCTATACTATACCTGTACAGACTTGAAACTCTCGGAAGAAGCTACTGAAGGCGAAATCCAGGATTCTACATTATGGTATAAACGCATAGTATATTTTCTCCCGGAAACTTCGCCGCTTCCTCCCACCGAAAGGAACAAGAAGTAAGGAGAACTAGGCCTCTTCTGGAGATACAAGTCAGCCTCTATTGTAGTTTAAAACGCCAAACTTGGCCACTATACCTCTTCCTCCGGATGACCAAACGTCCGTCCAGCTTTCAGCGTATTCCCGCTCTCTCTCTGGCCCGTACGGAAAAATAAAGTAAAATCCCGAAACGGTCCCCTTTTTTTGGGGGGGGGGACTCCGGCAGCAAAAAGACCAGCAGCAAACCAGAAGGGACAAGGCGGCACTTTCCGGCAGCGCTCTCTCGCAAGGAGGTCCTGCCTCCACTCCCACCCGATTGGCGCAGGAAGGAGAAGAGGCGGGGCAAGCAAGGATAGCCTACGACAGGGGTAGGCAACCTCGGCTCTTTTATGACTCGTGGACTTCAACTCCCAGAATTCCTGAGCCAGCCAAGCTGGCTCAGGAATTCTGGGAGTTGAAGTCCACGAGTCATAAAAGAGCCGAGGTTGCCTACCCCGGCCTACGATAAGCTGTGGGTCCTTACGCGAGGAAAGGAACATTTCGGGTTCGGAGGAGAACATGGACGCGTTCATAGGCGCAGGGAAGGACTGTGTTTTGTTTTGTTTTATTTTTCTTTTTCTACTACTAAGGCGGATTTTTAATGAGATTGGCGGTTTTATATTGCAAGCTCTGGCTGCTGTAAACTACTGATTTAAATAACGCAAAGAACGAGGCTTGGGATTTTATATGACCTTCACGTAGATCTACAACCTGTCATTTCACGCTAACCGTCCTAATTAAAGAGGCTGAGATTTGAGAGATGGCATTGCCAAATCTTGCTTAGATTGCAGAGACGTCAAGAAACCGGTGCAACTTTTCCGAGTGGCGAATTTTATTTCGAGGCTTTATCTCTGTTCAACTGGCATCAAAAGTTTTCAAGCAATCTCAGAAAGTCTCAACAAATACAAGTGGTTTTTTTTTAACGATTGTTAAAATTGTTCCATTGATTGTTAATTGATAAAGTACTTGTAATCTGTTTCACATGTAACCTGTATTTGCATAATCAACCTATCCTCTCTCTCTTCTTCCCCACCTCGCCCTAATTTAAATCCTGCATCAGACTCCACTCTAGCCATTCTAAACTTCTGATGAAGTGAACTGCAGCCTATGAAAGTTAATGTCTTTTAATAAAATTTATTAGTGAAAAAAAATGCGGTAACAGATTCCTGATTTTTTGTCACCATAGAATAACATGGTTCTCCTTTTACAGTGTCTTGCAGGAATGCATGACGGGTCTTGTAACACTGGTTTAACTTGCACTGAGTTTATACAGTGAACCCTGTGGTCTTTCATACTATCATATGTTCATTTATATGGCAGAGAAGTGAATTGATATTGCAAGAGATGCTAGGGTAATATAGTTGTGATTTTATATACCCAGCATGTTTTTAAATGGTGAAGACTTATTTTGTATCATCATCTGATTTCATTCACAGAAATCGGTGTTCACTCACACTGGCTTACATAGTAAGGATGCACTGAACCGTTTATAAGTGGAAGATTATTTTATTTTACTACTCAGTGATGCCAAGCATACATGTTCGCTGCAATATCAGTGCCTATGTTCTTAAACCTCTATTATGGTCCACTTTCCCTTAAGCTGCTAGGAGCTTAAGGGAAACAGAGGTAAGAGTATATTATGTCATTACCCCAAATAGGGGTTTTATTCTCAAAAAAGTTGCTGTATTCTTGAGAATTCTTGAAAGATTCTGGAGTAAAGTGTAACTTAGAAACCATTACATAGCAATTTCATACATGACATTCTTGCAATTCTCTATGTGCATCTCTGCAATATGACATTCCTAGGCACCTGGCATGCCATAATGAACAATGGTCTATAAGCGACAAATTTCTCATTGTGGAATAGTTGTTCAGACCCAATTAGCTCTAGAGCAGGGGTGTCAAACTGCCGGCCCATAGGCCGGATGCGTCATGCCAAAACCGCGCACACCCCATTGCTGGCAATAGGAAAAATGTTGCGATACGTCACGAAACATCACGGGACGTCACGAGTTTGACACCTGTGCTCAAGAGCAGGGGTGTCAAACTGCCGGCCCGCGGGCTGGACGTGTCACGAAATCACGCCCACCCCATTGCCGGCAATGGAGAAAAAACTCCAATATGTCGTGCAATGTCACATGACATCACGAGTTTGACATGTCTGCTCTACAGAAAATTATCCAAGACGCTATTACTGATTATATTAGCAGTTTTACTATGGCAAGGAACCATAAATACATTTAGCATGTCATATTTTGTGCAGTCCAGTACACCTTTCGAAAAAGACTTCATTTTAACGTTAAAATGTGGTAACATATTTCATACAAGCAAGGGAAACTATATAGGTTCCTTAAGGAACAGTGTTTTTCTTCATCCAACTTGCAAAACAAAAGTGGTATTGGAGCAAGTTCTGACAGAAATAAGAATGAGAAGACTACTGAAATGATTGCAAAGACATGTATTTTCTCCAACTTCTAGCAACATTGATATGTACTGGATACTCCATAACCAACAAAACAAATAAAAAAAAAATCCAGTACCTGAGAAGAGGCATTTTATGAAGTAACAACATAAACAGAGGCTACAAAAAACCTTTAAGAAGAGGCTACTTTGAATGGATGGAGCAGCAATTGATTATAAAAGTTAAATTGGATTATGATGCAGCCTTTCAGATGATGCTATCAAAGCAAACAGGAAAAAAAGTGCTAAGCATACATAGTGTTTAAATCATTTCTCGCTGCATTGTTGCTAGGAACATTCCAACTACGGTTGCTGTTTGCTAGCAGGCCCTAAAGACTGACTGCACTCACAGGAAAGCAAGTCCAGCTAGGGAGAGACGCTGTCACCATAGCAACAAAAAACCATTCAGAACAGGCATGCCGCTGCAACCGATAGTAAGTGTTTTATTTTTTTCACATTATTCAAGTTTTCATTTATGTCAAATAAGACTTTCATTAACTGCAAGAGCTTGAACTTCCCAGCAGTTTTTCTGCCAAGAAAGTCTCCCTTACCTTACCTGTTCATTGATGCAGTCTTTTCTGGGAACAATTGAAGTCCCAAACCCAAAATACGTACTATCCTGCTTTTCTCAGATATTCGGGATTTTCATTGTATCTAATCTTTGTCTTGCTAAAATTTGGGCAGCTATACAGGAGAAAGAGAACAGAAAGAAATTATCTTCTACCCTGTAGATACTGAGCAGACGAGGGCTTATTCCAGGCCTTTATTCAGGTAGTGTGTTGAAACTGAATATCTGAATAAGTGTACAACCCGAATGTAATTTTGGTATGATTAGTACTGTCCACCTATCTGATATTTTCAACTCTTATCTAGGCAATCTTATTTATTTCTTTTAGCCTGTTGTTGTTTTAAAGTTGGAAATACAGAAAATGTGTTGAAGCCTTTGCAAAAGTGAGGGTTGAACGTATTCTAGGATGGTTTAACTATATTGTACAGCAAGTTTTATTTCATTTGATGGCCTCCAAAACATGGGCTTTAGTTTTCCACTTTTCAAAATAAAAAAGAGGTTGAATGGGGGAAAGGCTGTTCTGGACCATTGGGCTGATTTGTTACTAACGAAGTGCTTCACTCTGCTATGGAGGAGTACACTTGGCTAACACATTAAAAACTGAAATCAATGTTTCTATTGCGGTGCCTTTATGTGTCTGAAAAGTGAAAAAATGTGAGATATAATTCGAAAAGAAAATACTACCCTCTGTAACATTAAAAAGAAATGTGCCAAATAGTCATTTGTTGTAGTACAAACAAAGCTGATAATGTTTCTTTATTTTCAGAAGTAGACAATTCTTGTTAGATAAATATTTTGAAAAGGATTTCATTGGGTGCAAGGATATTTCAATTTGATTTATTTACACGGCTAGTGTTTGCATTGCTGTCAGGTCTCTTCAGGAGTTGAGCTGAGCTGATTTATTACCTATTACCTGTTCAAGCTGACTTTGAAGCTGACTTTCAGCTGGATCCACTGTTGCTCTGCAGACCTTGAGGAGAGACTGTTTTCCCATTGAAGGAAAGGTCTCCTTGATTGCCAATGGAAAGGTGCGATGTGAATTCTGTGCATGAGCCACGAAAATACAGAGCCTTGCACCCTCAAAGCTCACGCTACTTCCTCGCTCAGCGTGCACCACTGCTTTGCAGATGCGTTCAACTTTGTGGCTGAGCTGCAGCTGAAGAGTTTAGCTGAGCTACAAAATTGAACACGCCTGCAAAGCAGTGATGCGGACCAAGTGAGGAAGCGGCATGAGCTTTGAGGGTGCAAGTGTCTGTATTTCCTCAGCTCATGCGCAGAATTCACACCGCACCTTCCCATTGGCGATCAAGGAAGCTAATCATGGTAAATACAAATCATTTTTTTGAAAAATAAAGGGATGGATTACAATTTTGATGATGAATGTAAATGAAAAGGCAGTTTCCAAAGCCTTCCTCCCCTACCGAGGAAAACCTGAGTTGCCTGGTGGGGCAGGGCACCGGCCTGCCCCACCAGGCACCCTCTGAAAATAAGCCCTAATGTGTCTTTTTGACCAAAAATAAATATAAGACCCGGGCTTATTTTCAGGGAAACATGGTATTAAATAAGATAGCCAGTTTGGAATCATGGTTAAGGCATCATGCTAGAAACTGGGAGACCATGTATTCTAGTCCCACCCTAGCCATGAAACCTGTTGGGTGAGCTTGGGTCAATCACTCTCATTTAGCCTTAGGAAACAGCCAATGGTAAACCACTTCTGAAAAATCTTGCCAAGAAAACTGCATGGATTTGTCTAGAATAGATAATCTCTAGGAGTCAAAAACTGACTGGATAATTCCAAGATACTTACATATGAGAGGAAAAAAGAAAATACAAAAAAAATCTACTACCATATAAATAAAAGGTCAGGTATATTATACATGTGAAAAGTTAACCGTATACAAGAAGTATGCCAGATCAGATTAGTCCTGTAAAAAGGGAAATAAGAGAGCATCCAATTTTTTGTTTAGTGATAATACTTATCTCTCTAAAGGGTTTTTTTTTTTGTCAAAAGGATATAGCTTTATCACATAAATCCCTCAAATGAAAGAATGACCTTTTTGGACTTAGAATAATTTTGATACATGTGTGTTAGCAGTGTATAATCTTCCACTGCATTTCCTGCCCTGAAACTTAAATGAATCCATTTGGTTTCTATAACTGCTGCCAATTTGTTTTCTGTCTCAGATTACCACGATCTGTATCCCAAGCTTTCATTAATCCATATGGTGGATCTCCTATTTCTAACTGGATTAATAACCTATACATTTTTGAAGTTATTCTTTTTTGACTGTACTAAATAATGAAGTATTAAATTCTCAAAGTTGTATAAGGCCGTATTGCTGAAGCTCTAATATTTGTATTGCCCAGAAGAGATTTAAGTTGATGCCAAAAAAGCCATGCAAGCTTATCACCTGCTCGAGTTGATCTTTATTGAGAAGTTTACTATTGCTATAAAAATCTTTCAGTCTATAAAGATTATATACCTTCCAAGATGTTACTTTTTTGATTCATAATCTTTAATAGGAACTTATTTGATCTCGATTTGGAGCGTATATAGATGCTAGCATTAATGTTTTATTTTCAGGTTTCCCTTCTATAAATGGATAACTATCATCCCTATCTTTTAAACCTTTGGAACCTTGAAATGTATGCCAACTTTAAAAAGAAGTCTATTTTTAGGAAATTTAAAAAAATATTCATTATAGTACCTTTCATTCAACCTATTTGTTATATATATTTCTTATAACATAATTGCATGTAGTTTAAATCAGCAGTCCCAAACCTTTACGGCTTGGCGGCCTGGAGGGGGGGGAGAGTGGAACTGGCCCACTGTTCATGCAAGTCGAGCTATATGTGCGTGCATGTGTGCACCAGCCCTCCACTTGTGCAAGTTGAGCTGCGCACATCGGCACCAGCCTACCCCTTGTGCAAGTCGAGTTGCACGTGCACATGTGCGCTGGCCAGCTGCTCGCACGGGCTGGTAGTGGGCCGTGGCCTGGGGGTTGGGGACTTCTGTTTTAGATAATTTAATTTAATTAAAATTCCTTTTCCTCTTAATAGAATCTCCTAGACCTCTAACATTTAGAGAAATGATTTTACATTGTTTGCTCATTACCTGCACTTCTAAAAGTATCTCTAATTTCTTTATACAATAAAAATATTTACACATATAAGACTTTTTAAAAGCTGATTACTCACAAAATCTATCAGCATATTACCTGATATTATAATAATCATATATAAAACATTAGTATTCTGCTTACTACATAGATACCCTCCTCCCACTCTCCCTTCTCCCTTTGGTGATCACCTCCCTCCCTCCTTTATCCCCTACCCCGCGATCCCCACACTAAACCATACTACCATATCCAACTTCCCTGCCCTCTAGACCCACTTAGATCGCTAGTGGGAAAAAAAATCAGAAAGGCTCTTTAAGTATCCCCAGTCCTTTTTTTGTAAAAAAAAAAAAAAAAAAAAAAAAGGTGCCGGAACTCACACACGTCATACAACCCGCCTTGCCTACCCTACAAGGTTCCATCCAAAAAAGGTGCCGGAACTCCGTTCTGTGCGTTCTATGATAAAAAAAAGCCCTGAGTATCCCACATATAGTTTAAGGGGGAGGAGAATTACTGAGACTCTTTCTCTTCCTCACCAGTCTATAAACTCCCAGTTTTAATTACAGTAATTCCTTAGCCACAATTTTACCTACATTATTATTTGATAAAGTTCTTTTCTCTTATTTATTTAACTCCCTCCTTTTTCCTTTTGCTCTAAACCTGAAGATTAAAAAAGAGTAGAACAGTCAATATAATTTCTGCTACTCTGCAACTCGATGCAGTGTGCTTTTCTACCGCTTGTAGCTGAGCCTGCTTTCCATATTCCAAGACACAGATAGCTCCCTTCAATCCTTGTTAGGGGATTCTGCCAAAAAAAACACCTCTGCATCTCAAAGCTGAATATTTCGTCCTTGTGACATAAAAACAATTAACATAGAAAGGAAAACTCCATTTGCATTGAATCTCATTCTGCATACGTTTTTCTGTCAATGGTTTGAATTTCTTTCTTGCAGTAATGGAGCTACGCTGAAATCTTAGAAAAAGAATATTCTCTCACTGTCCCATTTAATCTCCAATTCACTGTACGTGTTTTTCTTATAATTTTGTCTTTTATATTTGAATTCATCAATCTAACCAAAATGTTTCGAGGTTTATGTATCTTCCAAGAAGAGTAAGCCTGTTGAGCATGTTTAATATCTTTATTAGTTAACTTCATATCAGAGCTCCGGTCATTAATTTTTAAATGAGATAAGTAGTCAGATTTTTCTGCTTTCTTCTGCCATTTCTTTAACCCTTAAATTATTTCTCTCGCTACGATGCTGTAAATCTGCCAACTCAATCTTTATGTCAGAAATATTTTTTTTCCTCTTTCTTCCTTTTATTAAATATTGTGCTGAAAATGCGAAATAACCATTAAAATAGAAACACACATAAATTGAATATATAGACATATCTTTTACGGTATGTAAAATAAATGAAGCTACCAACATTTCAATAAACATATCAGTTTGAAAATGCTTTGTTCCAAAGATGGAAGTAGTCTGGCTTTCCTTGATAGGGATTTCCAGAAGCTTAAGCAGCCATCAAGATTGCTTCCGCTCATCCTCTCACACACAAACGTTTCTCATGTATGGCTTTCACCTGACTCCAGCATTATCCTGCCCGGACAACTCTAATCTCTCCCTTTTATTCAATATTATGGTCATAGATTATAGAAAAAAAATTTAAAACTGCAAAGTGGTTTACAATAAAATTAAAAGGTTTCTAAAGGAATAAAGAATTGGCAAAACACCGTACAATAAAAATAAAT